GCCCACGTCTTCGCCAGAAGCACTTTCTCTTGCGGCAGAGGCATGCGCCCCTCAGGGCCCACTCAAGCCGTAGGGAGCGGGGAGCTCTGAGGCCACAGCCACGGGCCAGGTGACTCAGACGGGCAGCGGGAGCCTGGCCACCCTGTCAGAGAGGCTCCGGGCCACCGAAGTCGTTCACTGACTCACTCGCTCCATACCCCCAACACGCTGGGCACCGCCCCTGCATTGGCCACGGTGGTCCCGGTTGGCTTTCACTGGAAGGGGGTTCTGGGGTGACAGCCGTGCAGGCCTTGGGCTCTGCACCTGCTTCCCACAGTCCCGGGCAGCGGAGAAGACCTACTCAGGAAGCCCTGCAGGCTCAGGGGCCAGGCCTGCTCGGCTCTCACGCCCAGCTGTGCCCTCCGCAGCAAGGCCTTGGGCAAGCTTCCCACTTCGCTCTCGTCATCTCTCTCTCGGGGGGCCCCTCGTGGCCACTGTGGAAGGCACTTACGCAGATCCAACGTGATGATGCCAGCAGACAGCGTCACTGCCCACCCGGACCTTGGCCTTGCTCCTGTGCCCGTGCCCGGCTCCCAGCATGGCAGTGCACTTCAGGCCCGGGTCCCCCTGAATTTGCTCTCCACCCTCGCCTCAGGGTCTGCTCCTGAGAAACTCAGACTCAGCTTCTTCCCCCTCGGTGCTCGGACCATCACCAACTGGCAGCAGTAGCAGCGACCATGAGGGTGACCCGGTCACGAGGCCCCCGGGGAGGCTGCAGACGCCTGAGGAGACCAGACCTCTATCTGCATGTGGCCTAGAAGCCAGACAACTGCACTCTGAGCCACCCCAGGCTGATCCCCAGTGGAAGCTGAGCCCTGCGTGTCCCCTCCAAGGGCAGCTTGTCTCTAGAAGCAGCTGTGGTGGCGGGGGGAGCCCAGGTGGGGCATCACAGGACCCGGGTCCATGGCCTGGCTCTGCAGCTTCTCAGCCGGGGGACCACTGGGTGACGCCGAGGCTCAGCGCGGGAGGCCGGGACTTTACTCTGTTCGCCTGTGAGCCGAGTCCGGTGGTCTGAGCGGGTCGTCCCGGCGAGTCCGCGTCTCGCTCCCTCCTTCCGGGGCCAGGTTGCCGGGTTTCTTAGTGCCCTGTGAGAACTGTGACCGTCCGCCTGCTCTGAAGGTTTCTTTCCTCTTCATCCTTGGTGTCCAGCAGGTTGACCGTGACGTGACTAGGCAGGACTTTTGTCACCCTGCTTCAATTTCTTAAAGACTTTCATAAATCGATGGGCCGTGAATTGGATTCGGAGCATCGGGGTGTCCAGCAGGTTGACCGTGATGCGACTAGGCAGGACTTTTGTCACCCTGCTTCGATTTCTTAAAGACTTTTTAAATCGATGGGCCGTGAATTGGATTCGGAGCATCGTCAGCACCTGGATCTTGACACGTGGCATCCACCCCGTTTCTTCCTCTTCCTCTCGGTGGATCCACACGTTGTCGTTCACTACTGCTGCCTGCCCGAGAGCCCCCGACGGAGAGCACTGGTCACCGTCACCCACATGCCCGTGCGGAGCCTGGCTTCAGCCGGGCAGCTCCGCTTCTCACGACAGATCTTGGGCCAGCTGGGATGGTTCTGCTACATGTGGGCCTCGTCCTCCTCCTGCTAAAGTGGACGAGGGAGCATCTCCTCAGGATGACGGCTGAGGCGGGAGGAGGTGACCCCAACCACGCAAGCTCACGCCAAGTCTCGGCTAGGTCACGTCTGCTCACCTCTCATTGCCCACCGCTAGTCACGTGATGGAGCCCAAAGCCAAGGTCAGGGAAGCAGACCTGCGAAGCTGCGTGGCCAACGGTGCTGTAGGTTCGGTAAAGCGGCGGCGGCGGCCACGTCCGCACGCAGCACGTCAGGCCGCCTGCCGCGCCCCGGTACCCACCCCACCCACGTCTTCCATCTTTGTAAGAATGGTGCTGTCTCGAGCCCGATTTCCACCTCCCGCTCCTGTTCCCTGAAACCCACCTCGTGGGTTCTGTCTCATCTGCTGTTAAGCCAGCTCTGGGTCCTTTCAACATGACTTGGAGTTTTATTTCATTCATTTCTGCTCTTTATAATCTTCTCATGACCGATTTCCATGTATTCTCATTCCTAATTCTATTATAAACATTTAAGTTGGGAAATGGTTAGCAGTTTCCCCCTAGATGCTGCTCTAGCTTTATCCTGAAGTTGGTTTTTTTTTGTTTCCTTGGATTTGTTAGTTTTCTGACTTTTGTTAACTGTTTGATTTCTAGTGCTTTAAAATTTTCGTTATGGTGTCTTGTTTTTGAGAGGGATGCCTAGTCTGTGATTGCAGGGTATGATACACGTGCTTTAGATCAGTTTGTTAGTTGTGTTGTTCAATGTTCTTATTAAACTTTTGCCTTCGGGTCTGTCCATTATCGGGAGGGGGCATGTCAATATTCCCGTTTCTGATTCGGTCGGTCTCTCCTTGTGGTCGTAATACTTTTAACTTTATGCATTTCGAAGCACTTGTATTCGTTACCTGTTAAGTTTTCAACTATTAAAAAAAGTTTTTCTCCTGGTAAGTTGAACATTTACTCATTTCTGCTGTTTAGAGATTTTTGCTGTAGTGAATTTCCGTAAAATTAACAAGGTAAGTCCACTATATCTTCTTCCATCTTTTATGATCAATTTTTCAGGGGTCTGATGTTTTGAGTGTGTCTTTTTCTAGAGTGACCAAAAAAATTCCATCTGATCATCTGTCTTTGAGCGGGTGACATTTCTCATTGTGGTTGCTAGGACATGCAGATGAATTTCTATCATCGATTATTTGGTGTTTATTTCTTGTATCCATTTTCACTCAATTAGTGACTTTTTTCTGTCTATACATGGAAGGGAAAACTCCATTTCCATCATTTGGCATTGACCCGACGTCCAAATTCTGTCGTGTCACCAGCCTCTTCGTTAACTGTATAAAAACCAGAGAACGCGCCGACCTCGATCGACTGCTGCCTCGCGCCCTTCCGTACCCTTCTCTGTATCTTGTCTTAACACCCCCCAAAAGAGGAGCTGTTATTGCTGAGCTAGTCCGTGTCTGTTCTGATTGAGCCCCGTCTCAGTCGGCCTGGGGTGCTACAACAGACGGTTCTCACACCCTGGAGAAGTCCAGTCCAGGGCCTGGGTGTGGCTAACTCCGTGTCTGGTGCGGGAGGGGCTGTTCCTGGCTGGCGGATGGCCACCTTCGCCCTGCGTCCTCACGTGGCAGAGCCAGAGGGAGCTTCCTGGGCTTTCATCTCATACTACTCCTCTTTCCAGTCAGGGTGACGCCCTCGTGACCTCGTTTGACCTTGACCCAGTTTCTTTTGCCTTTCTTTTCCTCTCCCCGCCCCCTTTGTATTTTGCCTCTGAAGTGTTCACATCGGCTTGGCATACAGGTGGAAAGTATTAAAAACATTTTTCACTCGATGGTTTTGAGCGTTCGGTAACAGGAGGGTTTAGCTCCGGTGCGAGCGCTGCGGGGCAAAGCATTTCTGTTCCTTCCTGCAGCTCTCCGCTCTCGTCCCCCGATTCACGTGGCCGCCTCGTGCTACGAGCACTTAACGTCTCCCGTCTTCAAGGCACTGCGAGTGCCTTCATCACATCACCAAAGACCCCCCAGGCCCCGTCTGGGATCCCCACCTTCTCGCCCTCGCTTTCCGGTACCCCGCACTGTGCACACCGTCCTCCGGGGGAGGCCCCAGGGCCGGGCTGCTCTGAATGCACCCGCGTGGATCCCCTCCTGCCGCTCTGGCTCCGGGGGCAGTGCCCACGTGGGCCTGGACAAGCCACCCTGGTGCTCTCCAGACTCCACCCAAAGAATGAGAGGCAGGGTGCGAGGGAACTCGGTCCCGGGGACGGGCACGAGCTCGAAGCCTGCGCTTAAGAAACGTGCACACAGCAGGAGTCTGACAGACGCTGCAGTCACTCCTGTCCAAGGGACGCTGGCGAGTGCGCAGGGGACCAACCTAGCCTGTTTCTCCAAGAGGGACTGAGGCCTCTCTCTGGTTGGGAGAGTTCAGATGTGACAGAGCCCGCTCTTCACCATGCTCAGAAATGACGCAGGAATCACACTCTGCCAGCCGCTTCTGTATCCTGGGGTCTCTGAGACTTTCCGCAAGGTTACCAGGTGCCCCACCCAGCAGCCTCCGTGCATCAGAGCAGGTGGGGGCTGGCCAGGGGTGAGGAAGGAGCGGGGAGAGGTGCACAGTGGCCGGGGCTGCCCCATGCCCCTACACTGGGCCCACACCACAGGCGAGAAAGCCCCGGGTTTGTGACCTTGAGTCTGCCTTTTCAGCTCTCTGCGTGGCTGCGTCTCAACTCAAGGAGGAAAACACTGCCCAGCTGCTGCCGCCCCGGGCCGAGGTCCAGACATGGGACACGCACGTGGGAGCATTTGTGACTCCGCACCTGTGCCCTGGGTGGGTGAAGCAATCATGCAGTCAGAGGAATTCTCTCTCTTCTGTCCCCTGGATTCTGGCAGGAAGGGTAGAGGGAGATCAGCCTTGGGTCCCCATCAGAACAGCGGTGACCTCGGTGGACGTCCCACCACCCCACGCTGAGAAGCCCTACACAATGAATCCATTCTGCCTCCTCCACTCGCCCTGGGTCCCCTGAGGTCTGGAGCCCCTGAACACTACCCTTCACGGGTGGCGCTCCGCTCCCCAGCACCCGCATCCTGCAGCTCTAGAGGACGACAAGGAGCAGCGGAA